ATTTTTGTTTTCGATTTTTCGCTATTCAAATATTTTCCAATACATAATAACATTTTGTGTGGTTTGGGCGTCGGAAATGGGGGAGGTGGGTGGTGATGCGCACTTGCTCTCTTTAAGGAAATACGTCGACTGTGCGGCTGCGCCATTTCAACAGATTGCCATAGTCGTCATCAACGTCGCTACGCCCTCCATAATGGGGCTCCAGTTGGTAGCGGTGTGGCTGCGCATAGCAATATTCATACGTCAGTGAGTGGATGACGATTGAGCCGAGCTGTGGTGGTTGCCTTTTTGAGCCCACTGAGCTTCTGAGCTTGTGAGCTGACTCTGACTTTGAGATTTCTGGCGTATGTACATATGTTTGTTTGTATGTACTGTTGCTCACTGTGATCGCTGAAGGTTGTGACGCGGGTGTCCGCGCCTGCCAGTGTCCGTCGCATTCTCGTGCTCGTCAGTCCGCTTTGACGTGGCTTGCCAGCGTAGTTCCAAAATAAAGGAATGTGCCAAGTTGTGGTTTGTCGCGCCACGTTGCTGGTCAACTCAACGCATTGATTTGCGTATTTTCGTCTATCAGCCTCAATAGGCTTCACTATATTAAATACGCGTCAAATTAAGTTGACGCGTTGTCAATATACATATAGTTTCCAGTGCTCATTGACAGCGGCGGCTTCTACTTTCTCACTAGTCGCCTAGTCGCATTACTTAGTCAATCGGATTGGAAAACGGTGGACGTGGAGTAGTTAGTGAACTATTGGGCAATCGCTTGTGGTGCTTGTTGCAAAATTATTGAACGCGCCTCAATTGAGTATTGATCGATCGGTATTTTGCTATGGTCGGATCGTCGATGGCAGAAGATGTAGAATATTTTTCATATTTAAAAATATTAAAGTGTTTGCCAATGTAGCTCATTCACAGTCAAGTGTGGCGGCAAGCGGCAATTTGAATAGTTAATTAACACTCAGTTGCATCGTTCGCCCGCCTGCCATAAATATTTAAACCAACCACACCCTTTCGTAGTTATTTATACCTACATAGTATGTATAAATAATTTCCTTACAAACTCGCGCGTGTACATAAATATTTGTTTTTTAAATAAATTGTTCTGTGCATTTAATTAAAGTGTGAAATGTTTTCGCATTGAACAAATAGTGTCGACTTCCATTCGAAAAAATCATCCGCTCTGCCAGCAGCACTCAGTTCTACTACATTCCGATGTTATGATGGGTCCGTTAGATGCGGTTTTGAGTTGTTTTTGCAGAATGTGTCAGTCACCATGTTGTAGTAGGTGTGTGTATATGTGTATTGCTAAGTGTGGGGTGTCGCGCATTGGCCGGAAGTCTGTTATTTTTTATGATGTTTTACTCCTGCTTACTTAGTAGTGGCTGGCTTAAGTAAACTACTAACCCTGGTATTCAGTAAGCTGTCTTAGTCTCGAAAAAAAAGAAAATTATGGAGGAAAAGATAATGCTTTAAAAACCGCGAAAATTAAGAGAGGAAATATTTGTGGAATAAAAAAAAAACATTAAAATCTAAGGATTATTAAAAAAAAAATTATAAAATTAAACCAAAAAAACCCCCCGCTGCCCGAGGAGGACTCGATCTTGGATCTCTCGAGTGGCGCTCTAGTGATTTTCCCACTCGGCTATTGCGACTATTACAGCAGTGGGAGTAAAAGGCATACATTCATGCTATCAGTTGACTGTCTGTGTTTTTGTTTTTACCACACATTTTTGGTGAACTTCTTATGACTCTGAATACCCGAATCATCTCAAGTCACAAAAAGAGACACTAACAGGGCGATTCTGGCGAAAATGCCTCATTTTGCGCCGGACACTAAAATTTAAAATTTACTTATCATCTAAGCTTAAAACGGACATAGACGCTCTAATCATATTTTTCCCACCTTCTCTTCCATTTTGTTGCAGCTCCCAACCGCCGCCCAATTTGACAGTATTATCGCGACATCAACAACAACAACAACAACACCATCAGCAACAACAACACCAACTCTACCACTCACAATCGGCTGCTATTGCTGCAGCTGCAGCTAATTCAGCCTTCTATGCTCCCGCTTCGAGTGTCGGCGCTGTTGACACCAGCGAATTGATGATACGCCTACGTGAGTCGATCAAACAGAAAGAGGAATTCCTTAAATCACCGCTGCCACACACGCACGCCACATTGCACAGCATTCCCGCTGTGGGCCACACAGCCCAACAACATTTCTTCCCGCCGCACACACCACCGTCGGGCAGCCCGCAATTGTCTATGGTGTCGACGACATCCACATCGGCCGGTTCATCAGTGCTGAGCAGCATAGGCGGCGGCGGGCCGACGACGGCGACACCAACGGCATCGGCGCGTGGTCAGGTGCGTACACTCGTTAAGCAACCACTATCGGCGACGTCCTCATCGGCGTCCAGTACGCGTGAGTTGCTGCCCGCCAACGTCGTCAGCGCAGTTGAAATGCATCACTACTACGGCAGTGTATGCGGCAGTGGTAGTGGCAAAAACCACGTCACGAATGTCGGTGGTGGCGGCAATTATATTAGCGTGGAGAGTGCGATGAGTCGTGGCGGAGTGGCAGCAAGTGCGGCTGCAAGTGTGAGTGGTGGTGGTATTAGAGCTGCGCCTGTTGGTAGTGCTGGTAGTGGAGATTCGCTTGCAGCGCGACGAGCCGCAGGCAGCGGTAGTGCAGGCGCCAGTAGTGCGAATAACAACAACGGCATGGGTGAAAAATACGCGAAGGATTTGGATTATTTGGAAACGCTGCAAGAGACTGGTGTCACCAACAAAGTGTTAGTAGAGCTTTGTTTGATAATTTTCCTATTAATCAGTTTTATTTTACATTTTTTCTTACATATTCAATTCCAGTTTCGAGCGTAAACTCGTCTCTCACCTGGCCAAGGGTTTTGATCCCTTCCAACCGCTTTCCATTAATACAAACGCCTGTGTGGAGCCCAACACTACAGCCGGCAATGTGGTGCTGATAAAGAAACCCACAGTGCTCTACGAATCGCTGCAACATCATCCGTTGCATCAGCTACAGGTACAACAACTGCAACACACACAGCAAGCGCAGACGTCACATGCGCCCATGCAATTGTCCAAAATGCAACAACACCAACAGCAACAGCAGCAGCATGTGACCGGCAGCGTTGTAGATGGTGCGCAATACAGCCGCATGGAGATACACAAGGCCAGTTTGGCCACGACGACCATCGATCATGCGCCGCCAAGTAAGGAGTTTTTTTTTTTAACTATTTTGCTTGCAGAAAGTACAGTGTTACGCCGATTTTCGAAACTTTTATTAGTTCTCTTTATGATGTGAAAGTTCATACTTGGCTAGGTTAGACGGCAGCTCCGTGAGCTACTCACTTAGACATTTCGCATTATGTCCATTGTGTTGCCTTTTAATAAAAATATTTTCCTTAGAGCTCTAACTGCACATTATCCACATAAGGTTGTTAGGAAAAGCGATGTTTGCTCAAAATAAAGTTTCGCAATCAGCTGATAAGAAACAGGGTAGTCCAGTGAATCAATACCGGTTCAGAATTTGTTGGGAAATGAACACCGATAAGTTAATCCTAACCGCCGGCCTTCCACTTTTTCGCCGAATTTCCTCCATAACTCGCATTTGCACTTTCTTGTCTAGAACTTGCGGAGTAACAAAAACTGTGTAAACTGAAAATTTGCTCAAAGAAAACACTGCTAGATCTTTTTTATAGCCCATTTTTGAGTTCCGAAATGTTGGACTCCTATCTATAATTAATTCCGCTATTCCTAAAACTCCTTTCCTGGTCACTCTGGTAGCGTAGTATTGACAATCCACGGAACTATGGCCAGCTTTAATTACCACAAAAGCACTAGAGCAGCTCACATGTGTGCAGCCTAAGCCATAGGAATTTAAAGCTTCTGAACTTACATACATATATTATCAATGAGATAAATTCAAACTAGATCAACTTAATATTCTGCCTAGTCAAATGATTTCGTCTTCAAACAAGTTTGTAATATCGACAGTCTTCTGTTTGTCTGTGAATTCATCACAATCTATTTTTTGAACTATGAAACTCGTTCGCCTCGTTGTAAAATAGCAGAAAAAAGCTAAATATTTTACATGTTTTTGCAGAATACACCAGTAAATTACCGGAAGCTCTTGGATCAGCAGCAACGGCGGCGGCTGCGGTGGCTGAACCAAAACCGGCACTCACTGATATTGCTGAAAGCAACGAGGTGCCAGTGAACGTCCAAGGTAGGCTAACATTTTCTCCTTGTCTCTCTCACTCTCTCTCTCTCGTTTGCTGTACTGCTCTAGCCATACGCTGTGGTGGGATGGGTGGTAGGAGAGAACCTGCTGCATGCAATCAAAATTTGTTTCCATTTTTCATATTCTCCGACTACTCGTTTACTACGTCTCATCTTTCTTATCTATCTTTCTCCAAACAGTAGCACCAACAGCTGCTGGCGCTTCCGATGGCAGCGGTGGTGCAGCAGTGGTGCGTCGCTTTAAGCCGATGTCCTCATTTGATGATAGCAAACCGATGCGACGCATCTCATATCTACGCGCCACTAACAATGAGGCCGACTATTCAGCATCGGACACGTCCATCACATCGCTGACGGGGCTGAATAGCAGCGGAGTTGGTATTGGCGCACCGCCACTCATCGAAGTGACATCTAAACAATCATCGTTCGATGACGACGACGATCCTACTTACGATGTTGTAGCTGGTGATGAACGCGAAACTATACAAACAACTGCCGAATTATTGGCGGCTACGGCACAGCAGGAACAGTTGGAGCAGCAGCAACAGCATTTAAAAGATAGAGCGAGTGTCACTGCTGAGGCGGCAATTGTGGCGGCGGTGACGGCTGCAGGTGTTGGTGGTGGTGCCGCGGCGGCTATAAGTGAAAGTAGACGCGAATCGGTGAATAGTGAAATACGAAATAGGTGTGTATAGATACCGCGTGCCGCCAAGACGTGTGTGCTATCTATGGTCGTGGTAGTGCTGCATTTTATGATTGATTTACTAATTATTTAATGCGTGAAAATTACAAAAACAACTATGAAAAGAAATACGATGTGTCATTTAAATTTTTCGTTTTATTGTTTTACCATTTATACGCAGCGTTCACATTGACGATGTAATCGCAGACATAAATGGCAAATTGGAGACAAAGGATGTGGCTACCGAAATGGAAGTGTTCGAAACTGAAATGGAGATTAAGTCGTCGTGCATCAATGGAAAGGTGTGTATGGAATTTTAATTCAAAAAGCTTTGTTTTGTACCAATGATGATATTTTTATATTTGTTTTAAACGTACATATCTACTATTTTGTGAAAATTTTATATGTATGCATGTATCACATATATTAATAATAATTATGTAGTGTAGATGTTTGTTAAGATCGTCTTTAAGAGGCTAAAATGCAAATGTGCAGCAAAAATGCAAAATTATTACTTTTAATCATTTTTTTACTTTACGACTTCATTTTATTTTATTTTTATTTAATAATTTATTTAAAGCTATTAATAATTACATTATTTTCATAGCGTCTCTCGGATTATCGTTCTTGGCGACAAGTGAAAATCGAAATCAAAGGCGACATTCTACGCATCTATCCAGGTCGGAGTTGCAAGGAGAGCAATGTAAGCATCCTCAATCAAACACCCCGTTTATATTTGAAAACTTGTTTAATTTCAAATTTCTCCTCCCAGATGATAGAACTCGATATTAGAAATTTCAAAATCTTCGATGAATCGGTCGACAAAAAGAAATCCTACATGTTCCGCATGCAATCGAAACCAACGCAAATCGCCACATTGGGCAATGAGCTAAATTTGGATGATGTACCCGAGAAGCTGACTTCGTCGGGTAGCAGTGCGTCCACATCAGCATCGCATGTGGAGCCACAATATCACCAGCCCCATCAACAACCAACTGAAATATTATTCAAAACGAAAAGCATGACGGAAATGAAACGTATTTTCGGCTTATTGCAATGGAAAAATAGTTTAATTTATGACGATAGTGTAAGTAAAGCTCACTAAACCTTAATAGGTGTTTGTTTGAATTGGAAAATATCTTAATTACCACTTTTTACAATTTCACAGGATCTACAAGGCAGGCAATTGGCTGAGCCACAGAAAACCGCGGCTATCTCTAGCATGCCAACAGCAACATACTGTGATGATAACGTACAACAACAGCAACACCTACACCAACAATTACTACCAGATTATTCACCATTAAGCACAACGTCACGTGGCGGCGATTCAGAGATCATATCTGATTCGATTTCGCCTGTGATGAAAACGCGCAAATCATCTTCACACAAAAATATACCTGACAAAGATTTAGGTTCACCAAAAGCTAAAAATTGGAAAGATTTATTATTTAGACGCGGTGGCGGCAGTAGTAGCAGCCACAATGCGGATATTTCACCATCAAGTCTAGCCTCTGGCGGCAAGACGACTGGTTCGATAGGCGTGCCCTTAAAAGCGTGTCCGATGGTGAGTTGGCTTTCAGAGATTACTATGTACTGTTGTTATTTGGTATGTATGTATATAATTTTCTTTTCAACGCACGATTTAGTCTAAGAACAACGAATATGTGCCGCTTTTGGTAGACGTTTGCACAAATATTGTTGAAACGAAAGGACTCGGCGTCGTAGGTATTTATCGCATACCTGGCAATAAGGCTGCCATTTCCGAACTATCGGAGCAGGTTAACAAATCGGACTTTTGCTGGGACCGTTGCAATACCGACGTCAGGTGGGAAGACGTGAATGTGGTGTCGAGCCTGCTAAAGCAATTCATACGCAATCTGCCTGATGCATTGCTGCCATGTTCCTTTTATATTAATTTCATTGAAGCCGATAAGAAGACGGGCTTGGAGCGATTGAAAGATCTCAAGGAATTACTGAGCTCTCTGCCGCCTTACTCATATGAAACACTGAAACATTTGATACGGCATTTGAGTCGTGTGAGCAAGAAATGTGATGTGAATTTGATGGAACCAAAGAATCTGGCAATCATATTCGGTCCATCGATTATACGCACACCAAACGATACGCTCGAGATAGCGGTGAAAGATATGAAGCATCAGTGTCGCATTGTAGAGCTGCTCGTGACGCAGGTGAGCATATATTAAAGAGAGGGCGGGTATATAAACAATATGTATGTCGGCTTTAATTTCTCTTTTACTATACTTTTCTATAAGCATATACTATTTCGCTAAAGCCAAACCACACCTTGTACATACAATGTTTTTTTCAGTACGACTATTTCTTTGAGAATGGCCCCCCTGCCCGATCTGGCGGACGTCACTGGCAATACTCCCATTGCGTCGACCTCCAGTTCGGCTTCGGGCGCACTACACACCCAAGAGGACCAGACCAACATGTTGCTGCACAATGTTTCGAAAATCGAGCGCCTTGCCGAGCGTGAGGCGTCATCTGCAACACGCACATCCCGTTTCATTCCACAGCTGCGGCGGCGTACGCACAGTAAGCGAGGTGCTGTCAGCTCGGATACTTACTCTGGCGAAAGTGTGTTGGTAAGCGAAAGTCAAAGCTTGAATCAGAGTCATAATGCGACTATGAGTTTAAGTAACAAAAATAAAAACAAACACAAACGCAAATCATTGCAATCATCCATAAACCTCAACCAAACCATTACCAAACTCATTTCTGCACCACACAACATGCACAATGCCCTACTCAAGTATAATGCTACTAGCACCAATTCCACCACCAACAACAAAACCATCACACAATCCACACCCAATATTTGTGTGGCTGCAGCCACACCGGCTTCCAAGCCGCTCAAGCAATGTGCTTCGGCGAATCGCCAGCAGCAGCAGCCGCCGCAACAGCAGCAAATGCAAAAGCAGCAGCTGCAGCAGCGGCGTCGCAAAGCCGTGCCCACTATTTATGATTTTGGGCTAACATTGCGTGTACAATTTCAGTCACTGGATTCCACCAAATCTGCTACGACAGCGATGACTACAAGTAGCAGTTCAACAAATGCTACTACAGCGTCGTCAAGCAGCAGCAGCGTCATTACCTCCACTCAAAAGACGAAAAAGGAGCGTAGCTTCCTTATCAATCACGGCAGTGGCGGTTTTGTGCGTTTGCACCATAGAAAAGCCAGTCTGGATGAGAAGGACTCAGGCAGCTGTAGCGGTTCGGGTAGTGGCAGCGGAGGCAGCATGAGCAAGGAACAACAACGCAGCAGTGTCGATATATCCGTGCTGCTGACAGATGATGAGTCGAGCAACAGTCGAAGCGACACGGGTAAGTGATACAATTTTCGTTTATAATTAAAACTTTGCTGGACGTGAGCGAAATATTTTATATATATGTATATATCGCACATTTGCTGCACGAGTGTCATAATCCTAAAAATCTAAAACTCGAGAAAAACGGCTTTAAAGATTTGAATTTTTATAAAGAATTAGGAAGTAACTTTAAATTACAAAAAAAAAAAAATTTACATATCGTTTTCTTAATTCACAAAGGTCCTAACCAACACTTTTTTTGAAACTGAGTTTTTCACAGATTGCAGTAGAATACATTAAAATACACCTTCATTAAAAATTGGAAAGCCTTAGTACCGAAAATCAAGGAGATGGCATACATTTTTAAAATGTCATATCGGTATGCACGATTTGGTTTTTATAATGTTTTTTGCTTCTCCTGTAAAATAGAAAATTTGCTGGTTAGGGCCTTTGAGAATTAAGGTAACGATACACTCCCATAGTAAAAATTAATACCTATGTATATATGTACACAGAAGATCAGGTAGCGGTCAATTCTGCATACCTAACTCCCTTTTTTTTTGTTTTATGACACTCTTGCAGCAAATGTGCGATATGTATATGTGTAAAAAAATACAAAATTCATACTTCCAGGTTCCATGTCTCTCACAACCATCACAGATACGCTGGATTCAAAATTGCGTAATCTGCGCAGCGGCTCCGAGTCGAATGATGAAAATGGTTCGCCAGAGTTTCGCAAAAATCGACGGCACACCCTTGGTCAACCGCTGCATCTGCATTCAGAAAACATTCCCTACGCCGACGAATCACCTGAGCGTCATTTTCATTCCTGCCCTTTGGATGCACCCAACGTGTTAATGCTCAGCCGTTCCTGCACCGCCACCAACACATTGGCCTCGGCGAAAGCGCATGAGACCAAAGAGCAGCGGGTGGCAGCGGTATTGTCAGCATACAAAAGCAACAAACTGCAACATTCGGCCACTGTGCCCATAAATCCTGGCTCGACCACAACCATCGTGGGTAGCGGCAGCATACCATCCACTGCGGCATCAACACCCACCGCTATTTTGACGGTAAAAACGACAAGCACACAAGGTGGCATTGGCGTCGGTGGCAACACAAATGTTAGCAGCGGTGGTAGTGGTGGAAACTTAGCGCGCAATTCCTATTTGGGACGTGGCACACGCTTTTCCAAGCAAGTCTACGAGCAACAGTGTTGCTCGGACGATGATTCCGAAGGTTCGACAACAAGTGACCCAAAGGATTCGCTCATCATAGCATCACCGCCGTTTTTTCTAGATCGTTACAATAAGAAACGACGCGATCATCGGCTTTTCCGCTCCGCTTCTTTCAATTGTCGCAATTATTCGTCGTCGTCGGGCAGACACAGCAGCAGCGGCGGGCCGCATCACAACACTGGCGGCTCAGCATCAGCGTTGACAAAAGATGAAAAGACTGATATGAATTTAACGAAGAAGCGACAAATACAAAACAAACAGAATCGTTCCATAAAGCGGCGGCACACCGTGGGAGGACCGCACGACTATGTCGGACCCAATGGTTGTCCGCCTGCAAATAGTAACAATTGCAATCATCATCACACATGTAAGGTGACCGCAAGTGCAGGTGGCACAACCACCACAACCACAACTGTGCTCCGACGCATTCCTATACCAAGCGCTAATGGCAACATCAGCAACAACAACAATAATATCAATACAAATCTACCGCAAGACAATGGTAATGGTGGTGGTGGAGGTGGTGGCGGTGGAGTGGGAAGCGCCGGAAGTGGTAATAGTGGCAGCAGTGCCGTCAATGCCGGCGGGGCTACAGTGGCTATGACGAGTAATGCGGGAGGCGAGCATGTATTAGAAGTTGGCATACGTATAAAGAATATCAACAGAAGTCGATATTAGGAGCGCTAACTAAATGAGCTAGAGCTTGTGAACTGTTATGCGCAAAAATGTGTAAAGTGCAAGCGCAATGTAGCAAGCGGAAAGAGCAAACTGCAAGAAAAGAGATATAAGAAAAAACACCAATTAGTTATTAAGTTGAAAATATAAAAAGTCAGCAGCGTTCAGTTATATGTGTGTGTAAAAAATAACAAAAAATTAGAATTAGCAAAAAATTTACGTAAGAAAGCAAAAACAACAAACCAAAACAGCAATGAAAATGAAAAGCCGAGGATATTCATGCTGTGAGGCACGTACATTGGAATTGCACAAAACGTACTGCATGCAACCTGAACACATAATTTAATTTTGAAACTGTCAGCGCCATAAGGACAAGCATTTTTAAGAGTTTTTAAGGTAAACGAAGTAGAATTTTGTAGAATTTCATTTCCGTATGCATATTTTGAAAAGTATATTTAAATTCTTGTATGCCTACGTACTTCAAAATTTATAAACAAAGAAATTATTTATTGGAAATATTGCTCATTTGCTGGACGAAAGTCAGACCCCAAAAATAAAGAAACCCTTGTTTTTCACCAAGGAATGCATCTTTTATGTTATAGAAGAAAGTCATAACAATGTTTCTATAATATGTATGACCCATGAGAAATAATTAGTGTTTTCCACTTTGATTAGCAACTAAAGCTACAAAAAAATTACTCTCCGGCCAAAGTAAAGAATTAAATTGAGGCTTCATTTAGCTGTATATGTTTTTTAGATTTTGAGTTTCAGACTAAAAACTTAAAGGTCGGGTTTTGAAGATCTTGCCGTTCGTCCAGCAAACGACTTTAATATTTACTAAAATTTCGTAGGTGGATAGATTATAGATAGGGATTATTTACCTACGCCCAAGAAAACTTTAAATTTTTTCTTTGTTGCCTTCTTGATGCTCTTCTGGCTGAAATTCTGCAGAAATTGCGCATTGATGGACAAGCAACAGATTGTCAAAATTTTGTTCATCACACGACTAATGGATGCAGAGTAGCTCAAATTTTCGAGTAGAACGAATAGAAATGTATCATGTTGCAAATTTGCTTCAGCGCTGTAGTATTGTCGCCTTTATTATATTTACCCTAGTTTACTTTAAAAATTCAGCTTTGTACAATAGTCGGTGGGTTATTCATTAAAACCATAGTCGAATTTAAAATCATCTACAACATTATTAAATCAATTAAAATTTCGAATGAAATAGTGTTTTGATTAAATTCGGAACTGAAGACTTGCAAGATTTAAAAGTTATTTATTTTCCTTGTAAAGGAATAAAAATGCTGGATAGGATTTTTCTGTGCTAAAGTAAATTCGGTGTAATTTTCAAAAACAACTTTCCCTTACAACAGTTCCCTTCATATCGCAGCATGAATGTCCTCCATGAAAAAAAAAAAGAAAATTATCTAAATTGTTTAACTAAACATATTAAATGTAAATGCACTCAAAAAGATTCAACACCTCCCAACGCCTACACGTAAAACCATGCAAATTTAATGGCAAATATACAAAAAAAATGTGCACACAAAAGAGATATTTATAAATATAGGCATAAGAAAATGAAATCATAGAGACGATATAGCATAAAAGCCGACAAAAATACCTTTGGATTGAAATTGGAATGTGTTGCAAAGCAGTTCACTCAACAAAAGGTGTTGTTTTCTCACAGAGGTCAAATCTCTAATTCTTTATTGAGATAGGGAACTTAATGGAGGGGACTCAGGCGCCTACAAGTACATATGTTATATTCCAAGTGTTAGCACTGAATTTGGAAATACATTTGTGATTTGAAAATTTAAATATTAGTATAGCGCAGGCTATGCTTCAGGCATAAGTATCTTTAAAAGTCGCTCATAAATGAGCTACTAAATAGTCTCTTTAACAAATATTTTCAGCCGTCAAACCGCGCCCGTAGGACATAAGTTAAAAACCTTTCACGTGCGCAGACTCATGGCGTTTTCATTTCTACAAAAAATTTGCGTTTTCATTGCAATTAGATGGCAATATTTTTCGATAGAAAAGAAAACACCACAAATAAGCATTGTTTGACCATTTCAGCTACAAGTGCTGGCATAAGTCTATACCTGTTCGTCGTAAAATTTGCTCTACTTATTAAAACACATTAGGAGAGTTCGCTCTTATGTGTATTCTTTGTATGTTGTGTAATTGTAACTGCATGATCGTGTGATTTGTTGTTGCTAGGGTACATCAAATAAACATGCAACAACAATGCTAGGGTACATCAAATAAACATGCAACAACAATCACACTCTTGTCCAGTTACACATGCGCAGGATACAGCGAATACACATTAGTGGAATTCGCGCTTCTGTGTATTCGCAGTATCCTGCTAAGTGTGACTGGTCGAGCGTGTGGTTGTTGCTGCATGTGTATTTGATGTACCTATACACAGAAGAGCGAATTCCCCTATTCTTTCGCTTCTTTAGTTGATATATCCAAATCTATTTGTAGTTGCGTTCCCTAACTCGCAAGAAGTTGCAAGAATTTGCAGGAATTTACCACAAAGCGTTCCCGTACTCGGTTCTCTGGCTTCTTTTGCCTTTTGACAGTTTCACAGGTTTTATCCAGAAAAGTTGAGGAACGCAACTATTATTAGAGTGCGTGCTTTTGACGGGCTTTTGCAGCCACAATAAAGCAAAAAAAAAAATCACGGACCCCGGATACTACTTTAATACTACGGGCGAGTTAATTTTAAACCACAGTCAGGTTTAACCGCGCACTGACTCCAACTCAACAAAAACTTTCTCACATTCCAATTTCGACACAAATGGGCGCACAATTGTGCTAATTAGTTATACGAAAAGTACTTGCATATATGTATATTTTTTGACATGATGTTTTCTTTCAAACCCCAAAAATAAGGTTTGTACATACGTATGGCTGGCGAGTAGTAAAGTTCAAAAGATAATAGCAAAGCGAATAAAGCGCGATTTTTTTGTTTGTTTGTTTGTTATTAAATTAGCAATTTTTTGCTATTTTTGGTGTTATTAAATTAAGTATTGAATAATTTTACACAATTAAATTGACTTGCGTTGTTGTGTTGTTTAAAAAATTTACAATTGAAGAAATTTAATTTTTACATTTGGTTTAAGATTGCTCTTTTGTACATTGTTAGTTTGTGGTTTAGAGAAAAAGAATTGATAAAATGTAAAAGAATAAGCCAATGTAATTCCATAGAGATACATTGTGACATTCTTAGGAGTTGTCACCATTTCTTTAATGATGGAAAAATAAAAACGAGCTTGAGTAAGGGCTTTAAAATTAGCGTAATTCGGAATCCATTTAAAAATTGTTGGTATTTATTATAAAAATAGAGATTATGATTTAAAAACGCGAATCATGTGCATGCAACTAAAATTAATAAATTGTATTATACATTTAAAAAGTCTCGGAGATTAGTTATGTGTATTCGCTGAGCTTTGTATTTGGTATGTATGTATGTGTTATGTTGCTATAAATATTTTAATTTAAAACAGATTATTTAATTGTTTTTTATTATTATATTATATTATATTATAAATATATTATTATTTACGAAGTACCCCTCTCGTATGTACGTATGTATGTATGTATGTTTGTGTACATATATGTATGTAACATAATAATAATTAATTATAAATATTATTTTGATGATTGATTTGAATTACATTATATGCGATTAGGTTTACTTGCTGTTATTTGATTACGAATAAAAACTTAAGTTGTATTTCCATGCAAGCAAAAATTCATGTTTGGTCAAAGCAAAGCAAGGTAGGAAAATATACATATATTATTTTCTAAGTATTATCTTCGTTTTGCTTATGGCTAACGCATTCGCGATAGGAACACCGTTAGATACTAACGTTGAGGCAGCTAAGGGATTGAAGAGGAACGTATTTGAATTACATATGTATGTATATTAAAGAGAGTAATGCATGTGAATTTAGTTTACAATATTTTGTGTTCCCCCCTTTTGGAAAGTTGACATACATACATAAATATATTGAAGAAGCGTCGCAAGCGCTAAGTGTAAAGTAACACAGTAGAAATTGTATGTAGCACCATATACACACAAAAATGCGTATAAATATACAAACCAATATATGTATTTACCTACCTATTTACCTATAAATGTATGGATTTATTTTGTGTAATTACGTATACATATACAATAAAATGAAGTAATTAAAAATATTTAAAAAAATAAATTAACAAGTACATAAATATGAATAAAAGAAAAAAAACTATAAAAAGTTTGATTATGATAATATGCAAAACAACTGTCATTACGAAAGAAAAAAAAAAAAGAATACATATGTGAAGAAAAACAAAAGGTGAGAAAGGTCTTGAGTGCTGCACACTCAAATATACACAAACATACACGCATCAATATTATCAAGAGTAATAAAAGAGAAATTACAAATTTAGAAACGAAAAAAAAGAATAGTGGTTTTATTTTGTAAAAAAATAGTCAAATAACGACACTTCTTCGAGGAATTGACTTGGCCTTGCAGTCGCCATTGAAGGCACCAACGGAAAATGCTTCAGTTATAATTATTATTTTTGTTGCGGCTATGTAGTCTTCTAGTTGTGGTAACTTCAAACGAAGGTCCAAAACGTTCGTTTTCGCTGGTATTTCCAGCTGCTGAAAGAAGAAAGCTCCCATAAATCCTCTGCAGAAATCCGAAGTATCCAGGGAAAGAGCTCCAAATTTGAATAACATCTTTAAATAGGCGCTAAATTTTAACTATATTATGTACATATATACGAACAATTGAGCCCACATGCACATTTTCTTTATTAATTCGGGCATATGAAATAAAATGCAAGTTAAAATAATTTTTCCCGTGTAATTTAAATAAAAAGTATTTTAAATCAGCATAAAAAACTGGAATTTTTTTTTTAAAGTATCAGAATATTTAATTTTCTTCAAATCTGCACGAAAAATCCTCTAAAACCCCGGCACGATCATTTTGTCGCAGCGCTCGCGGGTTCAGCGAAAAAAAACGCGGTTAACGCATTTAAAATTTCCACCAGGCGAGCAGAACCGCCCAGCAGGTGGCTGCCGCAACAAATGTTGCGCGCGCAACATGTTGCGATCATGTTGCAAGTGCCGAGTTGCTAGCGGCATGTTGCTGGCACTACATTACCAGCCATGGTTGCTGGTGGTGCTGCCAGATCTGTAGTAAAAGTTGAAATTTAAATTTTGTGAATTTAAAGCACAAAAATGCGGTAGAATCAGGTTCAATTTGAGTAATATAGTCTTTTGTGGGGCTTCAATGTTATAAAAGTCCTATAACCTCAATTTTTATAATTTTGCAGGGTTGTTTTCTCAAATTTACGCAGTTTCAACTACAGGTTAATACCACTGCTTTATCGACTCTAGTACAGGTGGCATCGCAACCGCTGTGCTACTTGGAACAGCTGTTCCATGTCAGCAAAACCAAAATAAACAAAATGCTGTGAGGATCAGATTTATCTTTTATTTTCATAATTTTTCAACGCCTGGAAGTGTTTGGATGGAGCTAAATTTATTTAAAAGAAAATACATTTCATAACGCTGAAGCCGTAATTGAAAACGGATGCGAGTGAAATTCCACGAATTGTGACATGCTGCAGTAGAGTTGGCCGTAGCCTGCCCAATGGCTCTACTTATCTTATTCACAGAGCTTCAGTTTGGATTCCGGATGCGTCAAATCGTACGCCTCACATCGAGTATGGTCTTAGCATTTGCGGCATTTTGCTGAGTGCCGAAATTGTGATGCACTGAAAGAGGCGGAGTTGTCTGAAATCTCTGAAAAGATAATAAACAAAATGTTGGCAAATATGTTGTTTGACTTCCAAGAGGATTGGAAGGATTCCCTCACTCCATAATCAATTTAATTAATTTTTTGATTCTTTATTTCATTTTCTTTCCTTACTTGCCTACTATTAGTTATTCATGCGAAAGTAACAAAAAATTCAGCATTTGAATTTAATGGATTTTCACAGCTTCGCATTTGGGGCAGTGCCGCTTATCTTATAAACCATTTCGTGGGCTTTATCATAGTGCGGATTGCAACCGGCGCGAACGCGTTTTAGCCATGCCTTGATTTTTGGATATTTTATGCGCACATCATAATCAGCCAAACCTATAAGAGAAAAAATGTGGGCATATACAAATTTATTAAAAAAATAATCTTAATAACGATTTCGTTCTTTTTACTTTTTAATTAATTTTTCTTATTAAAATTTAATTTTCTACTAATTTCTAGGTTTTAATGTTTAAAAAAAAATATATATACTTTTTAAATTAATTTATTTCTTTAGAAACTTTTATGCAATTCTTCCTTGTTTTGAATTTGTTTTTAACAATTTTTTTTTAAGAAAAATATATTTTTTTTATTCAATTAAATTTTTAGAAACTTTTATTTCATTTTTCTTTTATTAATTTCATTTTCTTTTAATTTTCAGATTATGTTATTTTATAAGGAAATTATTATTTTTCTTCTTTTTTAATAAAATTTTTTTATTTTGTTTTAAAAAGAAAAATACTTTTTTTAATTTCATTCAATAGTTAGGAACTTATTTTTTTATATTCTTATATCGCACGTTTTTGAAGATTTCATTATGCAATTAATAAGCTTGATAAGTAGAATATGTCCAGTCTAACAGATAACTTTCCAAATATGGCGAAGATATGTTTCTTTTCATCTGTCTTTTTGTATACCAAATGTATGAATTCATAGAACTTTGCGTTTTCCCACAAAATTAATATTTTGAAATATTTACTTCGTTATATTATTCAACGTGCGATATCTTATTTTTTTATGTTATTTATTTAATTTAATTTATTTTTTAAAAAGAAATTTAATTTTTAGTTTCATTTAATTTTAAGAAACTTATCATATTATTATTTTTTAATTGAATTACCTTCTAATTTTCAGATTTTACTGTTTTTAAAGAAAAGTATCTTTCTTAATTTCATTTAGTTTTAAAGAACTTATTTATTTTTTTTTCATTTTCAATTGTTATTTCTTTTTTATTTAATTTTCTTTTGATTTATTCATTTTATGGTTAAAAAAAAATTTCAAAATCGTTTAATTTTATTATTTTTTTCTTTTTTATATAATTTCATGTTTTTTTTTTTATTGACTTGGTGTTATTTTAATATCGTTTAATTTTGGAAAACATATTTCTAAAAGACAAACAGAGTAAAGCTAAGACCTTCTCGTTACCAGATCTTTCAATTAGTCTTTCGAAGGACACAAAAGAGCTTTCAAGAAAGAGCTTACGGAA